GGAGGGAGAGAGAAATGGATGGATGTTTAACCCATAGAATCCGCAATCTGTTACAGCCTAGTCAGATTATCTAACAAGGTCTACTAGGTGCTCAAGAAAGATAAGGCCATGTTGATCCACAGGAGCAAAACAAAATCCAGACTCTTAAATCTGTAGATTTTGCAAATGCACAACATCTACAACCTGTCAAGTACTGCATTGCTCCTCAGTCAAGACAGATAGTAAGAAAGTAGAGTGGGATGGAAAGACCAACACATGACCAAGTGTTTCAAACTATGGAGAGCGGCAGTCAAATACAATCCCAGGTTAGAAAGCAGGACTCAGTGGGCCAGATGGTAACGCAGGTATCAGATGACATCTGGCGAACCCCACCAGGGAGGGAACCAAATGGAGGCTCCCCTTCTCTGCCAAGCCAAAGGGAGTAGGAACAGACTGCAGGAATCACAGGCAAAACATGGGCAAAAGGATCACACAGGATCGTTTGTAGGACTTTCAGAGTTGCTGGTGCGAGGTGTGGTGCTAGTTTCTGGCTGCATCCAAAACTCTTCTTAGGACAGCATTCAGCAAGAGGGTAAATATTTTATATAGAAGAACTGAGATTTTACATATTGCATGCATGCTGCATTTACTGGGTATACTGAACACCATATTGCACAAACCATGACAAAATGGCACACCTCAGCTAATAAAGACCCTCCTTTTTTTCAAACAGAGCTTTGGGTGAAAGGCAGGTGCAAAATCATACTACTTGCAAATGCAGATTACTCTGCATATCCACACATTATTGCAATACTCATGGGATCTTTCCAGGTGTTTAATCAATCTTTATTGCCCACTACCACCAACAGCTATAGGTTGTGGGAGCTATCAAAGATTTTCTGGCCTTACAAGACATTAATGCCCAGGAAGAAACCTGTCCTGCATCTTTAGAGATGAGAGAATTAGACTTTAGCCTGACTCCGCAGAGCGTTTGCTGTGGCACCTGGCTCAAAACACTGCCAGCTCCTCTTTCTCAATTAGGAGGACATGTGAAAGATTTTGGAAATTTTTAAGGTCTTTCCCCATCTCAGATCTGAAGCCCCTCCTAGCATGCTGTATTTGGCTTGAAAAGGTGACCAACCCTATGTGTGAGCCGTACTCCATACTTCCCGATGTAGGCTGAGAAGTCCTGGGGTAGAGCTACAAGTTTTTGTTTCCTTTGGACCAGAAATCACACGTTGCTTTGGGTGTATTTTTGTCATTTTGGGGAGATTTACAAATCTACATACCGATCACCCTAAAAACTAGGGAGTCCTACCAATCAGCTAACTTTTCCCACAGTCACTGCTTGGACTTGCACAGCTTTGAAAGCTGCCACCAATACAGCTACATACACAGCTCTTTCCCAGTGTCTCAGGCAAGAGTCAACCACTGCCTTAGACTAGTTTTAGGCTCTACAGCATGAGTGAGCACCTTGGGGACTGCAAAGATGATGCTGGAGTACATTTTCCACCATTGCTAAGAGGAAATTCCTGGCTCTAGTTCCCATTGAGACATAAAATTCAACGGGCGACCTATGTCCTGCTTCTCTCTCTCTCCCTCTCTCTTTCTTCCAGTGTGACAAAATTGTAAATGCAAATCGTGGGTTTAGCAGAGTGATTCGCGGTCCAGGCAGTCCAGAAATAACTCACGCACACTCCAGCAGCTTTTCCTCCACCAACGTATATTTACAAGGTATTTACAGTAGTTCAGTCCGGCAGCATAACATGTAAAATCACCAAGCAGGAAGAAGGTACATAGACCGTTCAACTTACACATATATACATATACAGATCCAATCAGATTACAGGTTGCATCATCCCTGAGTTGCATCATCCCTGACTCAGCACTGCTGAGTCATCATGACTCAGTTTTAACACATCTGTTCAATATAGCTTCTCATTAATACACTCCATTCTGCTCAGGCCCGTAATTTTCCTTGACACCCCTCCTAATTTAAGGTCTGAGCAGAACATATACCCAAGTTTTCAGTTATTTCCATGTGTTTTTGTATATTCAGGGGTTTTGTCAGAAAGTCAGCTATGTTTTTCTCTGATTCACAATATTGCAGCTTAATTGATTTTTCTTTTATTGCTTCCCTGACATTATGATACTTTGTTTGCTTCTACTTCGCATTTTATCAGTTGTTGCCATCTGGATGCACGTTGTATTGTCTTCATATACCAAAATGGCTTGATTTACCTCAACTTTAAAATCTTTGATTAATTGTTCATACCAAATAATTTCTGAACACGGCTCAGACAAAGCTGCAAATTCAGCTTCACTCGTTGAAGTTGCAATGGAACTGTTTTCTCGACTTCCATCCCACTAGAACGTCTGCAAACAATACTACAAATCCTGAAATTGATTTTCTGTCTGTTACATCACCTGCACAATCACTGTCCAAAAATGCTTTTAACTTTAATTCACTTGAAGGTTTTATAATTAGACACTTGTCAAGTGTTCCTTTTAAATATCTGAATACTCTTTTTACTCCTTGCCAATGGTTTTGACACATGTCTACTCAGGATATTTACCACAACAGCAATATCTGGTCTAGTCCAATTGGCTAGGTACATCAGACTTCCTATTGCTGACTGGTATATCTCCTGATTTTCAAACTCCTTACTTTCAGTTTCTGACTTCTGAAAGTCCACTGTCATTGGAGTTTTTGCACTCTTACATGTTATATTTTGCTAACATTTGTTCTATTTTCACCTTTTGACTTAACACAAAACCTTTGTTTCTGGATTTGCACCCCTAAGTAACTTTGTATTGGGCCTAAGTTCTTCAATTTGAATTCCTTTTTTGTCTCTCGAACAAATCTATTTGGCTTTAGTCTTTAGACATGACACAAATGTCATCTACATAAACCAGCAAAATGTTTAGTTCTTTTCCGTACTCTTTAACATATAAACATGGATCTGCTAAACCAATTCTGTATTTTAATTTCTCCAAAGCTGAATGCAAACACTGATTCCAGTTTCGGGCTGTTTCAGCCCGTAAATTGCTTTGTTTAATTTGTATACCATTCCTGGTTTGGAACCCTCAAAACCAGGTGCCTGCACTATGTACAATTCTTCCTGTAACTCTGCATTTAAATTTGCAGTTGTAATATCAAAGTGGTTTACAACATAGTTTCTTGATGCAGCTAAAGTTAAAGCCAATCTTACTGTTTTTGTTTTCACCGTGGGCGAAAAATCTTCATCGTAGTGAACGGTTTTCTTCTGTGTGTACCCCTGAGCCACTAATCTTGCTTTGTACCTGTAATCTCCATTGTTTTGCAACTTTCTCTTATAAACCCACTTGCTAACAATTACCTTTTGTTCTGGTGGCAACCTTCTTTCAGTGAACACATGTTCATTCATTGACTTTAATTCATCTTTCCTGGCCTGTTCTCATTTCTTTCTTTCTATTTCAGGAAGAAGCATCACTTCTTCAAAATTCTTGGGCTCTTGGTATATGTGACACACACTTATTTCTCCCATAAGTCTCAAAAAATAATAACTTCATATCAAGGGTGGCCTCCAATATACCAAAGCTGGAAAAAAGGTGAAAAATGTTATAACTATACTCCCAGAACCCTTGAGGAGGTTACTAACAATTCAAAGATGATTTAAAGATCCACAAGACTGCTTTAGGGTTAACCTCACCTATTTAAACCTTGCAGTGACCTTCCAATCACTTCTAGTTTTTTAAAAAAGAAAAATGGGTGGATGCTTCTACCAAGGTCCAGGGAAGGCAAGTCTAGCATCAAGACCCTCTGTAGCTGTCCACCATTGTTATGCATGGTAGAAGCCTGTACTGATTTGTATTCCTGCACTGAGCAGGGGACTGGACTCAACTGTCTTATGGGGCCCTTCCAACTTCATTATTCTATGATCCTAAGATCACCAAACTCATGAGCAAACTTTTGTCCTATAATTGCACCTGACGCTTATCAGTCTTAATATTGAAATAATTTATTTCTGAGGGCAGTTTTGCCAAGAAGCACACAAACTCAGTTGCAGGGGGAGAGATACATCCATACATCTCATTTAACTGAAAACGGAACAGACAACTTGAGGGTAGTGAATATTCCTGTTACGGGATATGGATATATAGTGAATGAACGTCCATGGTACAAATCAAGTATCCTGTAAGCTCATGTGGTGTTATTCAAACTGTTGAGGAAATGGACAATATTCTTAATGTAAGATGGGTTGTTAAATACAGAGGGTTTAAAATAATAGTTCATATAAGTAGAGAGGGGTTCCATTATTGGCCCACACCTTGAGACTACAAGTCTCCAATGACTGGAAAGCTTGTTTTATATACTTTGGGAAGGCAGTAAAATCTAGATACTCTTCTATCGGGTTCCAAAATAATACAGGGGTGGGTTTACTGATGTATCCTCACAGAAGGGCTTCATTCACTATATATACTGTATGATTTCATTTCTAACCTGTACAGTAGGTTTAGTACTGCACTGGAGGCAATGGTTGATATTATTTAGTTGTCTGTGGGCTTCCGTAAGGTAATGCAACAAATCCATAATAAGAGATGCATTCCCCTTACCAGTAGGATGGAAGACTACATCCTTATATCCTTTCAGACAGAGAATGTTTTGTTTTCTAATTTATTCAAATTATGCTAAATACAGATTCAACTTATTTCCAATTCCTGAACATCACAAACAACTGATTCCTCAAATAATTTAATTCAAAGATTGATAATGGTTGAAGTAAAAGTGTCTGTTTAAACATTACAGTTCTCTCTCACAGAAGTAACTGTAACCCCCCCGCCAGCCTTAAAGTGATCACTAATTTTAATTCTTTTCAATAGGATCTGTACTTCAACAATGGAATTAAATGATTTATCTCTAGACATAGGGACAAAAGATGGGACCCTTTCCTGAGGACTGTCATTTCTACCTGAGTAAACCTTTTATCTGACACGTTTATTGAAAGCTTGTTTTCCAGATTTTTTTAAATGAAACTGTGTTATGAAAAACTCTCAGTCTTTAATTGAGATGAAACCAATCTGTGTTCCAAAGTTCTCCCCATCACGAACATGAGAATAGAACTGATCAGGGCAACATGATGTACAGAGAGTGAGATTCTGCTTTTGATCCTTCACAGTATCATCCTGAATGTTCTGAGGCAGAACCCCTCCAGCTTCCAGAAGAACACTGTTGCAGGAAAAAAGAAAGAGGAAAAAAAGGGGGAGGGCCAAGGAGAAAAGAAAAAGGAAAAACAATTACATATTTGATGATTAATAGATGGCATTTCCTATCGAAGAACAAGATACTACTTCCAAACAATTCTGTTTTAAAGTAAAATAAATAAATAGATCAGCTTTTACCCACACAGTGTTTCAAGGCTGGAAGTAATCAAAGGAGTTGTGTCTACTTGTTTATACCATGTGTTTATTTATGATAACGCCTTGGAAGCACCCAAATGCTGCTAGATGGGCTATCATAAAGAAACACTGTGGCATTACATAAGTGAATACAGCCTTCCTCTAATAACCTTCCAGCAAAGACAAGAAATGGGCTGCTCCTACTCATCAGTAACACAATTCTTTTATACATCTACAGCAGTTGTTTCCTACCTTGGGTCTCCAGATGTTCTTGGACTAAAACTCCCAGAAACTTCACCACTAGCTGTGCTGCCCAGGATTTTGGGGAGTTTTAGTCCAAGAACATATGGGAACTGAAGGCTAGGAACCACTGATGTACAGAATTACAGTTTGACAAATCTCCCCCAATGAGCTTCCCGAAAAAATTTATTGAGCAATCTGTGTGTTTTGACTGCTCTATAAAAAATATATATGTTTCTTCACAGTTTTAATTTTTACAGTGTCTCCCTTTTTGTGTTTGTAGATTAAAACTGGATCAACATGCCACAGAAGGCAACAAGGTACAGATGTATTCACTTAAGAATATCTATATATTGTTTGTATCTGAAATTTTCAAAGCAGTACACAACAGTAATAAAACACACAATATGAAATAACACCTAAAATCAAGATGCAGCGTTCGCAGTGTTCATAAAATAGCCAGTAAATCTGAACTACAACAGAATGGCAAAACTAAGAATATTTTCAACATGTGCCTGAAAATCATGGCCAAATCTAAATGTCAGAAAATGCCATGTCCAGTGGGTTACCATACTTCTGAACTGTGCATCACACATTTTCCCTTTGCTCCAGAGCTAAAATGAGCCCAGCTTCCGTTGTGGAGAAAATCCTCCCCCAAAGAGTGGACATTTTAATGGTGCGGAAGAAGTTGTAAAACAAAAAGAGTGGGTATAGATTGAGGAAGGAATAAAAGGGATGTGTAGATCTGGTCAAGAACTGTTGGAGTGCATCTGATTTCAAAGGGCAGAATATATCCAAGAATAAAGTGTCACCATACTAAATGCTCTGCCCCAAATAACTATGGAGCAAACCTCAGGAATATGTATCATTACAAGGATAGCCAGTCTGGATGATCACAATGACCCAAGAGGTCTATCATGGAGATGATACTGTCCTGATGTTGGATATATATTCGACTGAGGCCTGAGGGTATCAGATCCACCAAGTGACCTGAAGCTGGAAGGCTGCTTATATACACAAAATTTCCTTAGTGGAGTCAGGCAAGAAAAAAGGGGAGAAAATGGGTCAAGAGAAGCAACAATGAACTGACAAATAAATGGAAACAAAAAAAGTGAATTCTTCACAGTTGAATAACCAAGTTAAAATAAGAACTTTGCACACCAGATTCCTCTTTATCCACTTGTTTCCTTTTACAGGGCAGGGCATTTGTAATCAGAAATGTTAAGAAGTTGGTGAATGTTGACATAAACACACAAGTGTATAATGCTAGAAGGCTATCCAGAAGTACGAGGCAACCAACCTGCCTGGTCATACTGGGCTGGGTTAGCCAACACATGTGGAGGATGTAATGCTGGAGAAAGCTACCTTACAGGAAACAGTACGCAAAAGGTACACCTAAGAGGTTTTTAGGCAATTAGTTAAATGTCCTTTCTGATATACACTGAGAAATCAACAAAATTAACGTACTTATGAAACAGAGGTATGTTTATGACAATTTACTCCTGCACCAAGAAGTTCCCAAACCATTCTTTGGCAAGATGTCTTCAGGCTTGTCCAGCATCTACCAAAGCATGTGACTTTGTTCTGCCACTGATTTAGGAATGCAGGTATTATGAGAGGGAACATATACAACCTGACCTGTTTCTATCCCTTCTTCCCCCAAAGACTGTCTACGCCTCCCTTCCCTGATGCCAGGTTATCAGGCTCCTTGCTTAGGAATTGCTCCTCCATATCACTATGAAAATTAAGCAAAACAAAGCTTACCGTGTTGCTCTTCTGATATCAATGTAAGGATGTGATGCTTCGTAATGTCGTACACATTTTGGATCAATCCTATGAAATTCTTTTGCAGATTCCTGTGGTAGCCTGAAACAACAAGGTCCAACCGAAGGCCCCAGGACCACAAGAATATCTTCCACGTTAGAGCCATACTCCTTTATCATCGCATTGACAACAGCCATAGACACTCCCAGCAATGTGCCCTGCCAACCTGAGAAACAGGGAAGGAAAGGAATTTTGCAATTTTCACAGTTCAAAGAACAAACTGGGGCTGGCAGGTGGGATCTAAGACTTAAGGACAGATGAAGGCTAAAGTAGACATGCCCTTTACGTCTCTGCTACATTCACGTGTAAATATCAGGACCAGCCTATGCCTGGACTTAAAGGCTGATCACCTCTCTCTAGAAGAGGATGTCAACACGTATAGAGGAAATCCTATACTTGGATGGACGTAGCCAGAAGCCTGCCAGGAAACCATTCAACATAAGAAGGCTGCAGAAGCAAACTATCGAATGCTCCTTGTTATCCTACAGGACACTGCTCTTGGATTTCCACCATTATCACCCGGAAGCTAAGGTGGCAATTAGGCATGGGATTTTCCATTTCTTTTGGACCATAGATCCCAGAATTCCTCAAAAAAGAATCTTGGGACACGCAGCATGAGGCCTTGCATCTCTCAGTGGCAAGAAGCAATGCGTGCTCAGAATCAGGGCTTTCCAGATATTCATTCAGGAGGGTCTGCTACATAACTGCTTGTTGCTGCTGACTGACTGTTGCAACACCTTCTGAACACCTCCTTGTGCTCTTGTCTGATTCAACACCCCTGGCCTGGATCCTGTTCCCAGTGTTCTTGCCTTGCTGAGTGGCATGATTGGAAACCTATCCAAATGAGCAACTGGAACGTTTGTGTGTCTGAGTGTGTACAGCGGCTCTTCATGAAAAGTTTACAACATCTTTTTTTTTATTTACACCCCCCCAAAAAACAACAAAACCCAAAAAGCACAGTAAGTAACGGGGATTTGTAAAGACCTCTGGGAACATAGTGCTAAGGGTGGCTTTTCTAAAGTCCGAAGTGAGTGACCAACAATTCCCCTGGATTCTAACCTTACAGACACAAGTATGTGTGCCTGCGTAGTGTAAAGAACGGATAGAGGGGTATGTATGATAAGGTGTTTTGATTTTCAGGTGTTACATTAGGTGAAGTCAGAGGCTTAAAAGCAACACAATCTTCTTTTTTCAACAGCTAATCTTGCCCAGTTGAATGAGGGCAAAGGGAAATAGCAGATGTTTCATGGGCTCATCTGAAACTGCACCATTATGATTGTGAGTAACACATTAAAGAATGTGAGAACCTACTGTCCCTTGACTTCCCCAACACAGAACCAGGAAGTAGCAAGAAAAACATTGAGGGAGCGCAAGAAGGAACAGGTCTACGGGACAATAACTAAGGGTGGAGCAGCAGTAGTCACAGGTAAGGCTTTTCTGCTCGTACACTTGGTTTGTACTGTTGATTTCAGCACAGACTGATGAGGAGATGAGCTTCCATGCACTTCTCAAGTCGTCAGCTGACCATATTTGTCCAATGACCAACTCCATCTCTATTTAGCTCTCCTGCTGTCCTTCAGGTGCATATCTTCTTCCATAGGTTTTATCAGAGCCCACAAGCTATAATTGTTTTAATTTCCTAATTAAACTGACTAAATAGACCAATGGAAGGGGAAAATGAAGTTAAGGATTTTAAGGTCCCTCTAAATATGACATGGGTATCTTGTGCTATATCAAACTATTGATAAATTAGTAAAAGTCTCAACAAATAATGACTTCATATCAAGGGTGGCCACAACGTACTAAAGTTGAAAAAAGGTGAAAAAAAGTCTAACTATGCTCCCAGAACCCTTGAGGGAATTTCTAACAATTCAAAGATTATTTAAAGATTCCCAGGACTATTTTGGGATTAACCTCACCCATTTAAACCTTGCAGTGACCTTCCGACCACTTCCAGCTTTTTTTAAAAAGAAAAATACGGTAAGTGGATGCTGCTACCAAGGCCCAGGGAAGAATGGAGAGAGAAGAACAGGAACCCTACTGGATGTATATTTATATAAATAAAGAATGTTGACAAATGAGAAACAAATTTGGAATCCTTTTCCTAAAGAATTACTCCGCATATGAAGGAAATATATGATCATCTTTGCTCCTCCTATATCACCCTTATGTCCTATATTAGAACACCCTAAATTTAAATTTCAAGATAAATACGCACAATTTAAGCAATGGAAAGAAAGATGAATGTATAGAATAAGAGACTTGTTTATACAAGGAAAACCTATTATAATCGGACAGCTCCATGAGAAAACTAGACATATATTAACTAATTGGTATCGTATAACCCACATTAGAAATTTGGCAACTCAGTTACTTAAAACACTGGGTTCAAATAGACCATTAACAGAAATAGAGAAATACTGTATAGAGATAGGGAAAAGGAGAACAGGGTTAATTCCAGTAATTTATAGAAGTACTATAGATAAACAACTTGGAGACAATATGGGATCCAAGATAGTTTGGGAGACAAATTTAAAAACTGAGATATTAGAAAACACATAGAAAAGAATATGGACCTCTCAACCTTATAAATCGGTATCATCTCAAGCTAAAGAAACAGTGTTAAAAGTAGTGCACAGATAGTACTTATACCCTGTACTGTAAAATTAAACAGAATAAACAAAGGAATATCAGAGATGTGTTGGAGGAAATGTAGGAATAAAGGAACTCTTGAACATATGTGGTTAACATGCCCAAGAGCGGAAATTTTCTGGTCTGAAGTAATTAAGTGGTTGGAAGGTATAACAAAAGAAATAATTTCAAATGAAACTTTGCTACTTTTTTCGTTATTTATGGGGGGAACAAAAACATTGTGAATAAAGAACTAATTGCAATTATATTAGGAGGAGCCCGTAATGAAATTGCCCAACACTGGAAGGACACTCAGGACTTGTCTTTGCAAGGATTTCAAAATAGAATATGGAGATTGGCTCTGATGGAAAAACTGACCTATCACATTAAACTCTATAGAGGTGAAATAAAACAATATAAATTTTGGAAGTATGGAATCCCTTGTTGGCCTCTGGTGCAGGAGATTAAATGGAAAATGGGCTGAAATGCTGGTTAGTTTGAATAACTGTAAGGTTAGAAGTAGAACATATATAAATGATTAAATATTATTCGTATACTATAGGTAAGAAAATTATTGGAAGTGTAACTGTATTTATAGGTAATAGGTAATAATTACTTTTTTTGTTATGTGATCAGAGGTTGTAACTTATATAATAATAAAAATTTTAATTTTTTCTAAAAAGTCCAGGGAATGCAAGTATAGTGCCAAGACCCTCTGTAGCTGTCCACCACTTGTTATGCATGGTAGAAGACTGTACTGAAGCCAAAATGGTGCCCAGTCCAGGTGCAACTAAACCATTATTTCAAGGAACAGAAAGAGAAATAGCAGAAAAGGGAGCCAGTAAAAAAAGGAATAAAATATATAAATGGCTAAAAGATCCTAGAGACAATCTAGTGCAAGAAAGAAATGAAGACTCCAGCATGCCCAAATAAGAAAGCATATAAAAAGCTAAAAACCAAGCATACAGTTCCACAGTGGAGTCCTTGTTGTCGGCAAAGCAGTAACAGGTTCTTGTTACCTGAATGAGCAGCACCACATGCTTTTTGGACAGGATCAGCAAAAAGTACAGGAATGCAATCTGCTCCAGGAGCAGCTATTGTAACACCTTTCTGGTTAGTTACTAATGCATCATAGCTCTTTGGTTGGGCTCTTCCCATGACCCAGACATCACTGGCATGGTTGACCTGTGAATTAAAAATAATAATAATAATAGTAAGTTATTAGACTGCTCTTTCACTCCAGCATTTCCCAAAGGCATCATCTATGATGCAACAATTTTATCTGACCCAGTGTCATGTCCGTTGCTTAAAAAACTTCAGATAAGGGATGAAGAAGAGCTCAGACCGGTGGGACGAACTTGGATTTTGTTACTGTTATTTTACTGGAACTCCAAGATTTGCCAACAGAAGCCTGAGGCCAAAGACAGATGCTTTGAATTAAGGAGCTCTAATCCAGGTATTTATTCAGAATATTAGAATTGAGCTCATAGTGCTTCCACACAAGACTCCACTTCAGATTTCTCTGTCTCTTTGTCACTCTCATACTTTTACACACTCTCTCTCTCTCTCTCCTCCATCATTTCAGCAATGGAACTTGAGGTGTGTGCCATTTTACTGCTGCACTGTAAAAATTGGGAGCCAGAAAGTCTTAGTAATCCACTCAAGTCACCTGAGGATGTTGATCTGTCTTCCCACCATGTTAGAAAAAGACAAAAACAAAGCGAAACAAAAAACACACAAAACTGGCCAAAGGCCAATGTACTTCGAAAATTGCCATGTGAATTTGCTAGTTTCCTCAGGTCACCTTGAGAGGCTCTCCTCTATAAATTCTCACCAAGCTAGGTATGAAGGATGGTAACAAGGGAAAAAAAGATCCCTTCCTAAAGTTCTGCCTGCTTCTTCTCCTTCACTTTCCATTTCTCTTTCCACAATAAAGCCGCTGCTTCCTTGCTTAGAAACAGTGCATCATTAAGAGGAAAAGTATTATTGTGATACTTATCTCAATTCACATTTGGCAAGTTAGCTTGTTTTTGTTTTGTAACTCCTCAATTGGGAGATAGCAGGCTTTGTTAGCCTGTCTGCTCTTCCAGGCACTTAACACTGAAAGATATGCAATGCCTGGAGGGATAATGCAGTAAAAAGGAACACTGTTTTGCCTTAGGTTAGCGTTTAAAGGGACGGACAGTTCCCTTTTCAAAACCAGCTGTTTACTGTTTCTTCTGCTTATTGTTTTTTCTGCTTTCCAGAACCTTAGATGAAAGGCTTCTTATATTGAAGAATTATTTTCAGTAGTTTAGGAGAACAACAGGGCAATGGAATTCAGTGTCCAGACACACTTAAAGCTGTATTCTCGAAGGTTTTCATGGCCGGGATCTGATGGTTGTTGTGGGTTTTCTGGGCTGTTTGGCCGTGTTCTTGAGGTTTTTCTTCCTAATGTTTCGCCAGTCTCTGTGGCCGGCATCTTCAGAGGACATGAGTTGGAAGTCTGTGCTCTGCTGCAGTTTGTTGGATAGTTGAGTATTTATAGCTGTGGGATCAGCTTTTGTCCTTTTCACGAGATTGGGTGATTATGGTGATCAGTGTGTTTTTGTTGTGGGTATATTGTTGTGATAAGGAAGAGAGATGATCTGTCACTGTGATTGATGGGTGTCATTAGCTGGTCTTTTGTGTGCAAAAATGGAGGCTTTGGTCTACCAGATTGGACACTGTACTACCAAGCTTCAGTTTTAGTATGGCTGAGAGAATGGATATGTCTGAGGAATAAAAGGCTTTTATATCTAGAAGGACATGAGTTGCAGATGGGATGGCACAGCTTTTTATGGTATGGCAAAACTAAAGCACACAAATACTTTCAAAATAAGCTGATAAGAGATGCCTTGCTAACTACATGGGAAAAAGTAAAAACGAGAATCTATAGGAAAACACCAAGATGGGTCTCTCCGATAGAAGCATTTACTTATCCAAATCTTATCAACTCTGAGAAAATAGTGACGTATAATGAAATATTAAATCCAGAAGGAAATCTCGAAACCAAAGAAGAACTAGCAAGCCAAGGACTGATACTATTATGGTTACCTTTATTGCTAATTCAATCAATATATAAAGAGGACTCTAGAACACAAGGTTTCTACAAGGAACAGCCACAATTTGATAAAATATTATTTGTTACAGAAGATAAGCTAATTAAGAATATCTATAAATTCCTCTTAGAAGTGAAAACGGAAGATGAACAAGTGAAGGAAACAATGATACATTGGGCTAAAAACTTTGGTCGCATAATTCAGCTAGAAAAGTGGCAAAAGGTATGGAGTGATAATTGTAAATTAACCTTAGCATATAAAGAAAATGTATACAAAATATTTTACAGCTGGCATTTGCCACTGACTAGAATAGCAAAAATGTTCCCAAATGTTTCCGATAGGTGTTGGAAATGTAAAAAAACATGAGGGAACATATGATCATGTATGGTGGACTTGTGAAAAAACAAAAAAAATTGGGTTAAAATACATTCTTGGATAAAAAACCAAAACTGAATATAGAACTCAAACCAGAGTTGTTCTTATTGTGTATTATGCCAGAGAATATTAACATACAAGACAGCTATATTATATTACATATATTGACGGCAGCTAGAATATTATGGGCTCAATACTGGAAAAATGAGAAATCTCCATTAGAAGAAATAATTTAAAAAAAAAATTCTTAGATTGTGCAAAGATGGATAGCTTGACAATGACAACTAAAGGGAAAGAGGATTCGAACAATGACAATTAAAGGGAAAGAGGATTCGAAATATCAAAATTGGAACAAAATGTATGAGTGGCTAGAGCAAAGAAATAAGGTACAGAGACAAATGAGACATGATACAATATCAACAATTTGATGTATATCCAGTGAACATGACGAATGACAATGGAAATGTTTTATGAGTTATAAAAAAATAAATCTTTTAAAGTTAAAAAAGAAAGAAAAAGAGTTACAGTGCTAAAGCGAAGATAATTCTTGAAGAGGCCATATGTAATTCTCCATGATAGAGGAGGGTTCCACCTTGCAGAGAGATGAAGGCAGGTCCCAGTATTATACAAAAGAAAGGGGAAACCTAGGAAAGACCCCTGGCTGGTCACTAAAACACAGAGTAAGAAACACGAAGTACTCTCCTCCACCCTATTAAACCAAGTCCTGGAACAGTCTGATAGCCAGGAGAGAAGGAACTCACATGACGTCTTAGGCAAGAAGCAAAATCATCCCACACAGCCCAGAAAAATGCTGAGATAGCACAAAAAAAGAGTTCTCAGAGCAAGACTATAAGGAAAGAAAAGAAGAAGCCATTGTTCGGGTTGCTGTATTCAGACTCTTGAGAGCAATCTGCCTCGAGAGTTGTATAGATGGGAGAAGTCCTATTTTGTGTGATTTTGCCACCATTGCCCTTCTCTATCTCACTGTTCTTGTGCTTACCTTTATAGTGTGATATTTATCTTGGTCGAATCCAGCAACAGCGGCTAACCTGCGAAGGTTTTCCTTGACAACAATTGGTGGATCCCTCCGCTTTGAGCTACTAAACAGGTTGAACGAGCTCATGGTTGGTATATATGAGATGCCACCTGTTCTGGTAGTGAATCCATGTAAGAAGATATGGTCTAGGGGAAAGAGTTTTAAAAACAAGTAAAAATGTGCTCATATGTGGACCTATAGCACATTAAATGTTTTGCCATCACTTTAACATCTCAATTTGTTTAAAAACCACCACTTTCTCACAGATCATCCTAACTCCAATCTATTAGCCCTAGGACAAGCAGGGGACTGGGGTGAGAAGCCCATTCAGCATCCCCACTACCTATCAGCACATAGGTTTTTATCTACAAAATGCTTTCTAGACTTCATAGTATTTGCAATGCTTGGCAGTGTCTTCTAAAAGTAAACTCGTGCTTTGACAACTTTAATCAAGAATGAACAGCAGCATAAAACTGGAAAAAGAATTGCATTTTAAAGCTAACTAGTTGGAAGTTCATTTTTGTAGTTAGTATTCAAATAAGCTGCAAAATTTGGGGGGGGGGGAAGGGTCAAAGATATTTAATGTATTTTCAGTGTAGCTGACTGCAGCCAGAACACCCAATAAAGAGTCAGAACTCGACTCTGTCCTTCCCCTGTTCAATTTGATGTCCTGCTCACTCACCCCCTAAGGCCAGCCTTGCGAATAGTGTACACAGACATAAATCTGTGTGAATTATTCCTCTAAGAAAATGTGTATTTAAGAATTGAACTCCTTTTGTTCAGCAACTGACCCAAGACAAATGAGCCAATACTTTTAAATTGATTTATGCATGCCCTGGGAAGCTGCTCTTCTCCTTCTCCTTCCTGAACACCATTGCCCATCCTATATATTTAAAAGGTGAAAGACTGGCTATTTGGAAAAAAAAAGAAAAAGAGACTGGAGGTAGTAAACGACAGTTCATTATACATATTTCTTTTACCTGGAATTAAGAGGGACTTGAGAATAGTGAGTTTCCCTTTCAAAGAAGGAAGTCTTTTTAAAAACAATGTTATCTCACTTTGAACCTGTTGCACCTCTTGGTCTGTGAGTGTCTCCAGTTCATTCTGACGTACTGTGGAATTCTTGGGGTCATATTCTTCACAATTTATCTGCAAATCTTTAAATTCAAACTGGTAAACACTAGTAAAAAGTTGGTTGACATACTCCCTCATTAATGGCTTTCTTTTTGATAGCAAGATTATTTTAATAGTGTCTATGCCTTTTTCATCAAGTTTCTGTTTAATGGTGTACAAAGCGGCAACTGTACTCTGAGAACACACAACCTCAACTCCTTTCTCTGGACAATGAAAACTCCGTATCACTTTATGGTGTGTATCTTTTCCATTCCTCTCATTTCCGATGGTGTGATAACACATAAGGTAAAGTAACGGAGTGTGGAAAGGGTCGTCCTCTTGAACACCCTCTAATGTCCCGACAACTGATTCCTGAGTCTGGTTACTCCAAGAGCTGCAGAGATCAATTAATACTGCTTTTGCCATAATATAAACATGTGGAAGATACCTGAAGATGCCAGTCACTTTATGATCAGCCTTTAAGGAAAAAAGAAATACAATATATATTATCAGAAAGATTAAAAAAAACCCACACACAACCTTGATTGAAGTTCTATTCAGTTCTCATTGCATGCTTGTCACACTAGAACAGGTCCACCAAATCAGTGAAATCAGTCACTGTCTATTTACACACGTATATACGTTCATACAATTTCTTTTTGCAAGATTACTCATGTTATATATACAGTCAAAGATGAGTTTTACTGGCATTCCAAATGTGATACCCCTTCCCCCGCCTTTTGTCATGGCTGCCATTTCACAGACTGCAGCAACTTCCTCCTTTTTTGTTTGTTTTAATAAGTGGCATAGCACTACAGCAATACATCTGCCTAGCATGGACACTCTTTTCTGTCTGAAATAGTGTTGCATCATTTAGGAGAATATTTCTTAAAAAAAATGTGAGAAGAGGAAAGTAGAGAAGAGGGTCTCTCCGCCATCCTTTTCACTGTCACAAACCATCGCATACATCACAGGGCTGTCACCAAAGAGAACACCACCCAGAGCTCTATTTGGGAGTGAATTAAGCAACCACACAGATTGCAGAATGGGACAACCACAAACACTCCTAATTGCTTTAAATAAACTGTATCCCTAGTGCTGTGCTAGAAAGGAGAGGAACAGCTCACAAAAAGAAAGGATGGATCACTTTTACTTAAAACACATGAGGCTGCTACAAAATAGGGAAAACCAAACTGTACCAAAAGTAAACCAAATAGCAAGCTCATCTGATTGCCCCCTTATTTCAGTGTGAGATTCTATGGATAACAAGCCACTCTTTTCAGACAATCTTGTCATCATTTAAAAAATATATAAAAAATAATCTGAATGGAAAATTCAAATATTAACATTCAAATTCATTTAAAATGTTCTTGCAAGATTTGAAACACTTTTATTTTTTTAAGAAAGCTGTGTTCCAACTGTGGCATATAAAGACTCTTTCATATACATATAAAGATGGTTCACAGTTAAGGGCTGCTTTATATACACGTTGAATAGCTTATAAGAGTGTTATTTCAAAATGTTTTGAGATATGTGATCTGGCAGGACTAGCGTACACATGCAATATCACACCAGGAATGGCTGTCAGCAGGAGATACTGGACAGCAAATTACTGGAAAGTGAAATCCCTTTACATTAGGTATTGGCTAACCAGGGAAGTTCATTTAAAAAAGTCAAAAGTGGTTTGAAAGAAGGATCATGGTTCTTCTTCACTTTCTGCATAAATAACTTTTGTAGGTTCTCATATAGCTTTCTACAAAGCCCCAAATTATCCAATTAGAACCATTTCTAGGACAAATATCAGACTGCAAAATACCATGTTGTGAAGAAGCAGTAAGCCCAAAGGAGAAAGAACAGAGTGAGCCACCCCCTCAGCTAGAGACGTCTGAGCGGGAAAGAGATCAAGGAGAAAGAACAGAGTGAGCCATCCCCTTAGCTAGATACGTCTGAGCAGGAGAGAGATATAGAAGGAGAGAAGACAATAGAAAGAGATGAGCTGAATGTGGAGGAAGGGAAAAGAAGGGAATGAATCAAAGGGGAAAGAAGAAAAGATTGAAATCTGTCTAGCAGAAGAGAGAGAGGGAGAAGGAGGAGGAATTAATTTTGCCCGTGTGGGAGGAGGATATAGGACAGTGGAGGCAAACCTTTTTCGGCTCAAATGCCCAAAATGAGGGGGTGGGGAAGAAACCAGTGGCTGCCGTGCCGCCCGGAAGACCAGAACCGGAACAGGAAGTGGCAGTTTCAGGGGGAATCATGGGGACAGACAGGAAGTTAGAGGGGGAATCATGGGGATGGACAGGAAGTTAGAGGACCCAGAACAGGAAGAGAAAGGGGAAATCCCAGCTGCAGCCACTTCAAAAGGTTGGCACACGTGCGATAGGTTCGCCATTACTGAATAGGGGAACAAAGTGGGAGGAGACAGTTCAGTGTACCAAGGAGGGAGAGAAAGAAGAAAGGGAAGCAAAACGAGTGGGAGAAAGAATATGAATATGATAGAATGCATTGTTTGTTGGAGGACTTCCCTAATTTGAAAGTAGGAGGGTTGCTGCGTGACCCAGACGAATCTAAAGAAAAGGGGACATTGGCAGAAGCTCTAGAATGAACTGTTGTGGTCTTTCTGCGGGGACAAGGTCACTCAAGGAAGGTGATTCGGCCAGACCCTTCCTTCATTCATCCACCGCCGGAGGGAGATTGGGCCAGACACCCTTGTTGTAGGACAATATGCGCGGTCCGGAGTGCTCCGCTGAGGATGCCCACTGATCGGAATGTTTTGGGCCAGCCCCTCAATGAATCTTGTCAATTTCCAGACAGAGTTATTGTCCTCTTTGTACAGTTACTAGGTCTTAGCTGTTTTGAACCAATGGAAGTTGTTGTAGGCTCACCTAATGTTAAACTAAAAAAAAAACACACACAAAAAAAACTGTTAACGTTCAAAAAGAGACCCGGTCATCAAGGCTCACCTAATGTTAAACTAAAAAAAAACTATTAACGTTCAAAAAGAGACTCGGTCATCATTTCCCACCAAAAAGGAGGAACTGCTTCAGATCTTTAATGAACCCAATGACACATGTGCTTCACAGTGCAATTTTTGCAAACTGCTGGCTGTCAATTGGATGCCTAACCTTTGCACAACTGAAGTTTTGTGTGGTTTGCAAGGGACAGATGGTAAGCTAGCATAACACAAAAGGATTCTGGCCATTTACGCTGAAGGGTATTTACTCCTGGTAAGAAAAAGCAACATCACACCACTATTAGCTGAAATTACTTCTAACATGCTATTTCTTCGTGAAACTGAAGGCTACATAAACTTTCTTATCTCAGCGCTAGTCACAAATACACATTTCTAGAACCAACTGTAGGAACTGGAGGGCTGCAGCTTCAAACTCATTAATTAGCATATTAACCCAAATAAAATCGGATAATTTCCAGAACAGTTAATGAATTTGTTTGTTACAGCAAAAACAAAAACTAACAAATTAATGATCCTAAATTTCGATGCATCAAGAAAGGAGTCTCCAGCTTACAAATCACTGTCATGATAAATCTGTTATTCCTTAATTGTACTCTGTGGAATTCAGTGGAACGGTCAACTGGCAGCCAAGCACGCTGTCTTCAATGAAATTACAATTTCAGTCCTTCTGTCCTGGCAGAACGACTGAAATAACACGGAACAGAAAGGAAAACACTAACTCTTCACTAATTCAGAGAAAAGAGGGAAATAACATAGTGTCCACCGCAGATGCAGAATGTGGGATTTCTAAAAGTATAACATTCAAACGTTTAAACAAATGCAACTCCAATAATAAACAGAAGTACAGTATATACTCACTATATTAGGGAGATAGCCTCAGAGACACCCGCGCCACGCTGGAAACTGTATTCCTTGCCCTTCGTGCCCTCCAACAAGAAAGCAAAGTTAGGAGGGCAGAGTTGCAACAAAGCACTGTAAATGAGGGGAATTCCAAAGTTAGTGCAGCGAGGCGTTGATCTAATGAAATCTTGCAAAGTTACTAAACCGGAAAAGCCAGCCCGCTCCTCTCCCGGAGGTGTGCAAGAGGGAGCAGCTTGAGAAACTCCGGGAGCGTTCACACGCGCAGACAGCCACCGGGCCGCGGAACTTCCTGCTTCCCCTTCTCTCTCCCCCCACCGCCACCATTCAGGCGGAAGACAGCCGTCCAAAGGGAACCCCCGGACGTACAGTATCCCCGATTTTGGGAAGTTCAGGTTGTGTGGCGGCAGAGCGAATCCGTCCAGAAACCAAATGTAGGAACAAAGGTTTTGCTCTGCAGATCTTTTTTTTTTTTTACAAGAGAGAGACAGAATTTTTTTTTAAACATCTAAAAATCGTTCCTCAAGGACTCGTATAGTGTCTTATCTAATATTACTCTTGTCGGTTTCTGGGGCTGAAACAACAAGGCTTGCAGGTGCCCTTCAAAACTGCCCACTATTCCTATTGCATTTGTTTTGTGAGGTTGAGGCAGGTTTACCTTTCCTAAGATTTAAAGTACACCAAGCAACACCCTTCCAGCCAAAACCCAATACCCAGCTGCATGCTGAAACCTTGTGGTGGATTGATTAACTTTCAGACATAGTGTGATTTACAATTTTTGTTTTCAGTATCATACTGATTTTTACAGGGGCAGATATCCTAACACACGATAAAATGGGCCCAACTACTTCAATAACAAGTTTATAGCTTGTAGAAACAATACCACTGGAAACATTACCAAGCAGTTTGATCAAAACTTGTTTATTTGAAAGAAGTCCTGTGATTTCGCTAGACCTGTCATCCTGGCAAATGCTGGAAGGATGCAGCCTTAATTAGCTGACAAGACTGGGAAGAGAACACAAACGGTCAATAAGGCTTGTTTAAATAACTAGAAAGTATCAATATTATTATCTCAGTATAATCTTTGTCCCCCTGAACAGGAAATCTGGGTCAGTGTTTCAACCTTATAGCCAACTCTTTCTGGCTATCTTGCATTAAATATTAAATGATATATGCTACATATAGTTTCCAGTTGTTCAGTGGAAGCCAGTCTTAATTCAAAGAGCTAAAATTTCACAGTGCCTGTGTTGACATTCTTATATTATTACAGTTCTGATAGTACTATAATATGGGATTTTTAAAAAACCCAATAGAGACAGGATGTCTTCAGTTGCCAGATGGTAACTTTTGTTTAAATAGTTTTGTTATCGTAAATTCCTTAGCATCTCAAAAAGCAGTATATCTTGAATGCCCATTTATTTTAAATAACACCTGTACCCTGAAGTAATGCTTTCTATGTTGGTACTGTACTGTATACCTAAAGAGGAAACCCTGTGTCCTGGTTGTGGCATCCTTGGGCATGGTGGAGCCGTTGAGCATGTAGGCCTGATGGGCCTCCGAATGGCTGCCACTGGGACCTGGAAGTGGAACCACTACATGTACATATTACTCAGGAAACTCAGTACTGGAAACTAAACGAAATAATGAAGGCTGGCCTAAGTTTTTCATAGTTGCCTGTCCACCGTTACTTGCATTCCAGTAGAGGTATCGCTCTGAGGAACAGGTCTGAAAACACTAGTTAACTGACTGGTTGAAAAGCAAAAGTAAATACAGTGAAATTGGCAGGCCTAGTTCATAAATTATGTGCAGGTATTAGTATGTATGTATAAAATGTATATATATTTTCACGGAGTATAGCCATTCTATAAATCTTAAATTAGTACATAAGTAGATAAGATTGAGTCCAAGGGCCAGCACAAAAGGAGGATTGGGAGTTAAAGTATGACCTGGACTGTAGATCCTGACTATTTGTTGTACCTTTAAATTTATAATCTGCTTCCTTTCAGGAGGAATATGAATTATACACAACAAGAACAGAAAGAAAATTGAAAGCATAGTCATGAAATCCCCAATCTGACTGGGTTAAACTGTGATCAACAAAAGACAGTGTGTAAAAGGTACTCTGACAATACAGTGATTGCTAAACTTTTTATCAAGCTATTTGTTGCCTCTAAAATAATGGGCTTCTATTTTTATCACCCAATCCATGTCAGTAACAGGTCAAGTCTTCTCTATGGTTCTGGTATTGTTTTAATTGACTTATTTCCTCATGATGTCTTCAAAATATAGATGTATTGTACTGTTTCTTCTTTTCAGTCAGATCTTTTTAATGATAAAGTGATTTCCATTTTTCCTTTTTGGCTACTTCTCAGTTATTATCTGGGTATTGCAGGTCAAGTCTTCTCTATGGTTCTGGTATTGTTTTAATTGACTTATTTCCTCATGATGTCTTCAAAATATAGATGAATTGTACTGTTTCTTCTTCTCAGTCAGATCTTTTTAATGATAAAGTGATTTCCATTTTACCCTTTTGGCTACTTCTCAATTATCTGGGTATTGTATTTCTGTACTGATATTGTAAAAAAAAAAATTCAAAAACTTTTGCTGCTGATATCACAGAATTGGTGTCCTTATCAAGAGCTAGTTCATTAGATACGTAGCTTCAGAAAGGCATAGAAAAAATATTCAGAAAAGTAATAACTGAATAATAGGTTCTGCCCCGTAAAGTGTCGGGGATGAGCACCGCCCCCTAGAGTCGAACACGACTGGACAAAAATTGTCAAGGGGAACCTTTACCTTTACCTTTACCTTTATTGTATTTCTGTACTGATACTGTAAAGCCTGTACCCTGAAGTAATGCTTTCTATGTTGGTACTTGGTGTCCTTATCAAGAGCTAGTTCATTAGATACGTAGCTTCAGAAAGGCATAGAAAAAATATTCAGAAAAGTAATAACTGAATAATAGGTTCTGCCCCGTAAAGTGTATGCATTTAGCCTTTTGGGGCCCTTAGCTTTGGTCTGTTGCCCTTCTGTTAGTCCCACAATATTTGTTATTTTAGCTTACTTGATTTCTCTCCTGTTTAAATAACATTTAGAAGATGAAATAATAAAAATATTATAAGTTATTTGGCATAGATGATACTGGAAAAGTTGAGAACAAAGAAAGAAGAGAGGTGGCAGGCCAATCAAAGAAAAGAAAACAAGGATCCTTTCTAGGGTTTTGCCTGAACCTCTATTAAATGCTTTTTCTAATCTCTGAGAAGAATGACAGAATGATATTTTACATTTTTAAAAAAGAACAAAAATGTTCATTACAATATTTTCAATCAAAAGAAAAAAACTGGAGAAAATGTAGACAGCTTTGCTGAAGGACATGCAACTAAAAGATGTATCCACACAAAAATAAAAATAAAAAATATTCAGCACATAAACAACTGACTGTTATATTTCAATGTGAACTTTCATAGATACTTCCACTTTATTTTAGCACTGGAGATGCATACCAGGCAGATTATTTAGCACAGCCAAAACCATGAAATGTGCATTATAAAATCTGAAATTGTTTTAATGCAGAGTCTGGAAAAGTCAGTAATAGTTAATGATGGGATGACAGAACAGATAGCTCTAGGCCGAGGCACTAGACAAAGCTACCCTCTTTCTCCAGTTCTGTTTTGTTTAACTATTTAAATGTTAGTGAATGTAATAAGGAATGATGATTTAATTGAAGGTATGGGAGAAAATAATAAAATTAAGATTAATTTATTTGCTGATGATTCCCTATTGACAGTGAAAAATCCGTTAGAAAGTGTAGATAGAATTAAAACTCATTTGGAAAAATTTGGAAAAATAACTGGATTACGCATAAATTGGCAAAAATCTGAAATAATGTTGTTTAAGTATAATAAATTCGAACAAGAAAGGTTTGCTGATAACTGTGACTTTAGGATATCAGTTAAATATTTAGGTATTGACTTAGTAAAAGATACTCAAAAAATAAAGGAACAAAATTATAATAAATTAAAAGAGGAAATTAAAAAGAAATTACAGGAATACAATAATTTAAAACTTTCTTGGTTTGGAAGGATTGCACTCATAAAAATATAATTTTTTATTTAGTAGATTAATAATAGCTAGGCAATGGAAATCAAAATCTAAATTTCGACTGGACAAATGGTATAATGAAATATTGGGTTTGCAATGTAGAATTCCAGCTTCTCTATGATTTTGGTTCTCTAGGTGCATGGAGGGCCATTTTATAGGGTTTTAAAGGCAAAAGGAATCAACAGAGTATGTTTATATTTGTGTTATAGTTAAAATAAAAAAATAAAAATAAATAAATTCTTTGGTGTTTACTGAAAAATAAATAAATAAAAAAATTAAAAACATTTTCAGTAATATTTTAAAATAACACTTTCATGTTAATTGTTTAAGGAAATCTTAATGAAAAGTGGCTAAATAAGAAAAATCCACAATGAACATTATTTGAAATGTATTTTACCTTTAAAGATGTATATATTGTATTTGAGTGTGTTCTGTAGCATGAATTGCAGCAATTTGTATAAAAAAACCTGAGGAAACAATAACTTAAAAGGAGTACTACTGTATTTAAGTATCAGCCTGGCTGTCCATCCTCCAAGAATATAACTCCTAGGCCTGACACTGGAAATAGTCACCCAAGTGAATAATTATTTTTCAGTACCTCTGGGTAGTGTGGGCGGCATATAAATTGAATAAATAAATGAAATAAATAAAAAATCCCTTAAACAAAGAAACATTTTTCGTTGGGCAGCTATTAACTTTGGTCTCAAAAACCCCTTAAACAAAGAAACATTTTTCGTTGGGGAGCTATTACGTAACTTCTTTGGTCTCAAAAACTAGAAAAGATCAGTTGATGAACTCATGGAAGAAATAAAGGTGTCAAGACATACCCTGTTTGCCTGAAAATAAGACAGGGTCTTATATTAATTTTTGCTCCAAAAATGCAGTAGGGCTTCTTTTCAGGGGATGTTTTATGTTTTTAATGTACAGCAATCTACGTTTATTCAAATGCAGTCATGTCATCTTCTTCTGATTGCTGCACAATGGTGGAGGGCGGGGTTTCACTTAACTAGGGCTTATTTTGGGGGTAGGGCTTATTTTAGGGGAAACAGGGTATGTCAAGAAACAGTCAAAAAGCCTGGAGGTGACCAGGGCTCTTTTAGCAACAACCCAGCTGTGGGTGTATTTATGCAAACATTTCACCAAATCAAATAACCCATCAGCTCTTCATAAGTGCCAGAACTGAAGATTGCAGCAGAAAATTAGAAGTTAAGCTTGAAAGAGACAAGCAACTGGAGATCAAAGGCTTACAAGACGATTCAGATTAAGTCACATTGCTTGGAGGACCACCTGCTGATACAGTGAGTCTTGGGGGGGTATTAACAAGGTGCTGGAAAAGAAGTGGGAAAGGGGTCTTAATTTCCTATGAACTTCATTCAGTCTTAGGACCCAAGTCATCATATTCAGTAAAAATGTCTTTGTCTTTCATAACTTAAAAATATGTAGATAAGGGGAGTGACACTGGCTGAAATCATGTGCTTAGTGTAAGCCAAACGTTCAATGTCAGTCCATGCCTCACTGGTAAATAAAGTGAACCTTGTCATAATTCTCATGCTGTTCATGAACCAAGCCAGTGTGCGTGCATGCTCCCAAGAATCATAAGAGGGATGTTTCGTTTACTGGAAGTTATTACGTACAGTATTTGGCTTACAATAAGTAACAGGATTTTGGTCATAAACGTTTGGAAAAAATGAATGTTTTCTCACAGGGTAATATTGTATAAACACTGCTTTGAAAGTTGGCCTTGAAATAGACAATCTGTGTTACTAGTATAGTTTGTAATCAGTTTTCCAGACTACTAATGCAGGAGTAGATGATACTTTTGTAATCATACAATCTGCAGACCTTTGTGGATCAGAAATGTCCACTTCCTCACGCACACATTGTTTTAGAGTCTTTCTTGGCAAATGGATTATGCTAGGTGTTTGTCTTAGATTTACTGTAAGTTAGAGAGGGTGCAGGCTGCATGAGAGTTCTGTCTTTAAAGTTACAGCTGAGGAAGCTGTTGGTTAGATATCACACCCTAGTTCTTCAAACAAAGCAGCAGAGGCATATGCATACACTGTTTTGTTTTTTCCCCTACTGATTCTAGTTTCTTTCATATTCCCTTCTTATGCAATACTGTCTTTATCTTCCAGGCATGGCTACTAATCAAAGTGCTTCATCATTAATTGAAGTAGTAAAACAAGTGGCAGACCAACAGAATATTCAAGCCTTTGAAATAGAAAAGAGTAAATCTGTTCTTGTAAAGTTGCAGGTGACATTTTTAAAAAATGTTTATTTTATGGTTCATTTAAAAAAGTGCCAATCTGAACATTCTTTAAATTTATACTTAGATTTCCACTCAACTGGTACAAGCATGCTAGTTGATTTAAATCCTGTGTTGTGCATGGGAAAATTTCACAATCCAAAAGAACCTTGAATTCAAAGTGAGCACGTTCCAGCATAGAGTGACCAAGATCTCAACAAGGGGTGTTCCATTAAACTGCGCATTGAGAATCACAGAGGATAACTGGATTCTGTCTCTTGGTGGTACAAGCTGTTCTGCAATACTCAGTTTACAAAAATGGCAGCTAGCTTGCATGTTATGTTAATCCCTTAGTTATTCTTTTAAAAGCCCAAAGGAAGGGCATGATTGATTAAATTTGGGACAGGTCAGGAATGAGTGTCAAAATTAGTGGAATACTCTTCACATAAAGCATTGAAAAGTAATTTCTTCATTTCTTTGTACAAGAAGCTTGCATTTTGCTCGCAGTTATGAAAAAGAACATGTAATTTTTTTTGACCTTGGGCCTCTGAGCAGAGATGTTGAAAACCACTGTGAGGTTATTGTGAATACAAGTTATATTGTCTTTTAAGCATATTGGTAGAGAATGTAAACAATATTTCTTATTGGTACCAGCAGACAAAATAGAACAGTGTTTCTTTTTCTCATAGGAGTACTTTGACAGGACGATGCATTTCCATTTGTTTTGAAAATGTTTCTAGTGAACTCTTTTTTGATGACCTAGGTCAAAAAAACTTCATAGCATAAACATTCACGCTTCTAGTAACAAAGCCAATTGGATAGATAAATAATGTTTTCATTAGATGCTTGGTACTTCGAAAGCATGTAAAAATGTGAGTAGATAAATAGGTACCACCACGGTGGGAAGGTAATGGCATTCTGTGTCTAGTCGTGCTGGCCACGTGACCACAGAAACTGTCTACGGACAAAATGCTGGCTCTATGGTTTGGAAACGGGGATGAGCACCTCGCCCTAGAGTTGGACACAACTGGACTAAATGTCAAGGGGAACCTTTACCTTTACTGTGACAATAGGGTAAAGATGGTTGGATGCAGTAAAATGTTTACTTTGTACAGACAGAAGCTCAGTTAAGGAAATAATACAAATGCAAACAAAGCAAGTAGAAGTTATGAAGCTTATAGGTAAAAATGAAATAAAATAAAATGTGTTGGTGGTATTAATTACAAAATTTTATAAAAGTAGCTGAATTAGACAGCCAGAAGTAGGAGAAAGGAGAAAGGAACGTATAGCAGCTAAAGAATTAATGCTGACTTGTTTAATTCTTTTGAGTAAGACAACCTCCTACTCCTGTGTAAAAGACTAATGCATTTATTATGATAGAATGCCATTATATCATGACTATCTGTTTTGCTGATATTAACACTCTCAAAATGCCTGTTTTAAGTAAATGAAAAGCAACTTGTTAAATAAAGAACAACTGTTTGCGCCACTGAAGAAACAGTTTACCTACTTAAAAGTGTTAATTCTTAATGGTTTACTATATTGATGTTTTATATTTCCCTATTTTTTTCACAGACTCATGTTCTGGATCTTGAAACACAACTGAAGCATGTTGTATCAGAAAGAAAAGCAACAGAAAGGCAGCTCTATTATCAAGATGAAGCTATAGCAAATGCCAAAAAACATTGTGAAGATCTGGAGACTCAGATCAGAGCCTTGTATGCTGAGAATATGAAACTGACGCTTGACACAGAAGCCCTGGAAGAGGAGTTTCAAGTGATCCTCCTGAGAAACAATGCCTACTATGAGAAAATAACTGCTCACAAAAGATGTCTTGGCCAGATGGAGAGCAAATTGCCACTCATGCTTGAGCTGGCTGAAAAAAAAGCCACCGTCAAAGAGATGATTACCCAAAAGGAGGAACAAATGGCAGTTCTGCAGCACTTAGACGTACAGTCTACTGGCTCAGTCCAGGTCTAATTAATTTGTCTTTTTAGATATATCATCTTATACAAAATGGTATTGGTTGTTCAAAGCCATTCTCGCTGATGATAAAAAAAAAACACCACTTGTTTCCTTTTTTCCTTTCAAGGTTGAAAGGAAGGATATGATCAGGCAGGCATTGAGCCCCCTGTTTGTTCTGCTCTAGGGATGGGTTAGGGTTCACTCTTTTTTCCACTGATTACATGACATGATCACTGGAGTGAATCACACCAACCCCCGAGTGTTCTTACCTGCACCCTTCTGGGCTTCTACTTTTTTTTTTAGTGAGGGTAAGATAGTTCCATTTTGGTTTGTTTCCAGAGCATATGATCACTCGATACGAACTGAAGTGAGTCTTGCAGCTGTCAGATTGCTTGCTGTGGGGAATTTGCCAGTGAGTTTCCATGGCTGAGTAGACATTTGAACCCTGGGCTCCAGAATCCTAAGCCCTCACTTTTATCTACTACACCACATTGGGAATCCTGTACCAGATAAATTACTTCAAGTGCTTGAAAAACCAAAATTCTAATGAAAGATCTCTGTATGACAAATGAACGGTCTCCAGAGATATGCAGGTTGGATGGTGCAGGGCTACACCTTCTTTCATCACTGCCTCTTCCCCCTCCCCCCCCCGCGTTCCCTGCAATTCTGAAAATAAAATGGCAGCTTTTAACTGAAAGGCCCACCTGCACCCTCTAGTGGTGACACATTTTAATAACTGTGGCAGGATGTAGGTCCTAGTGATGTTGCCCTGACAACATGGCAAAATTTCCCACATACTCCAGAAGGATGCACAGGGATTTTCTGAGCCAGTGTCTCTCTCCTCCCCACCCGTGTTTGAGCTTCTGGGGGCCTCCAGAGATGCTGGACGAAGTATTTGGGTCCCTGTGTGTAACTTGTCAACCACCCTGCTATATATGTAAGCTGCCTGGTTTTGTGTGAAGCAAAATTGCGAGGCCATTTAGCAGTCATTCTTCAGTGAAGCTAGCTTCCTCTTACAGCCAGTTGCTATTTTTTTCCTGCTTTGCATTCCTACCCACTCAGAGTATATGTTTTTTTTTTCATTATTGTGTTTTTTGAGCCCGGTAATTCCATTTTAGCATTTCCTTAATGCTGGGGTGGTGAGTTGGGAGTGTGGTTGGAGTTGCATATAAAAATGTATTCATTATAAACATTCACATATGTTTCCATATAGGATGAAATTCTGTGTTTGGAAGATGAAATTAATGTCTTGAAGGAAGCTATCAGTAAAAAGGAAAATGAACTTCAATATGAAAGAAACATGCATGTCAGACTCCAAAAAGAAACAGAAGTAAGTTACATTTATTTGACACAAATACATATTGAGCTCTTTTGTGGAGATGTGTTCTAGAAAAATAACCCTAGAAGTTATGAATGTATTAAATCACAATTCTGATAGAAAAACAGTAATGTTCGATACCCAACCTCAAATGGGAAAACACACCAAAAATGAGCTGCTCTTTTACTTTATTAGTGTGTGAAATAGTCACAATTTCTAACTTACCATTGCCCATCCCAATATAATATATGAACCACTCACTGCACAGCTTGTATAATTCACACATGGAGTCTTGAAGGGATAGAAAAATATTCTAGATTTCCAGATCACAGTATCAAAATGTTAGGTGCTAACAGTGTCAACATCTGTTTCACCCTGACTTCAACAACACATACAGCTGGTCATTTCCGCTACTTCTCTGTTTATAGTACTCCTGCTTAGAGAGAGGCTAACTGGTTTTAGGATTTGTTTAAATGACTGTAGTGTGGATTGATCCCTCACTTCGGTGACAGGAATGTTGTAACTGGATCTTTTATTTCCTCTGTTTGTAAATCATGGAGGCAATGCAAAGAAAGGCTTATTAATTTCAAGGATAGATTTCAGGGAAGTGCCTGAAAGTATTGGTGAGTTTTTTCAAAAAGATCCAACTGGATTTTGTTCATTATCTTTTCAAAAAGATCCAACTGGATTTTGTCTTGTTCCCTTTTGACATGGTGCTTCATGGAGATCTCTATAGAGCCTAAAAGGTAGTGAGAAGCAAGAAACATTCTGTTAGCTTCCTTTTTTAATTACATTAGTAGGACCCAAAACAATCACGCAGCGTTGCCCTGGTCCAGGTGAACAAAAAGTAGGTATCTGTAAATGTGGTGTCTTGTTGCAGAGTTTTGAATTTCTGGTAACATTTCTTTTGCTATGCTGTAAAAGTACGAAGACTCACAGAGGAGAATAGCTTCAAGTACAAATAGTCCACCTCTTTCTCATTAACTGGCACTTAAGATCTCCATAACTCACTCTGAGACCTGCGTAGGAGAAAAAATGAAAATATTTCATTATTAACAGTTGGGAACAGATCAACAACAAACAGACTTCCAACAGACTAAAGAAAGGGAAAAGAACATTCAGCAGAGGCACAGGGGGTGAGTTTGAATTTAGAGGCAGAAATGAATGATTAGGTAGTGCTGGATAGACTGATAGTCACCCCAGCCTAGAAAAGCCCCCTGCAGTCACTCAAATCATAGGCAGCATGTGAGATTGTAAAAACTCAAAGAGGATGATGGACTAGAATTCCCAGAATTATGTCAAAAAGAAAGGGCATATATCAACTGTCGCTATGGCGAAACATCACTGTACGGAATAGAAAAACCCATTAAACTTCGTTTAATGCGTTCCAATAGGCCCCAGACTCACAGTTCAGCGAAGTAGCTCCATAGCGCAGGCACTTTTGCGCCCTCAGTAAGCGAGGGCAGGGCGCGAAAATGGTTGCACCGGCCACTTTGGAGCCGCCAATCAGCTGGCCAAAAATGGGGCCGGCGCTCAGGCAGGAGGGAGGGGAAGGCTCCCCCACCCTCCTCCCGAGAGCGCACCGGCTTTTTCGGCCAGCTGACCAGCCGGCGCTTGGCCAGGAGGGTGGGGGAAGGCTTCCCCACCCTCCTCCCCCGCGCACACCGGCTCTT